GGCAGCTCACTAGGAAACCTAGGTAGAAAGTCAAGAGATATCTAAGAGTGTCAATTGAGTTTACAATGTCTGATAAGGTCACATAATCATGTAGTTCTCTACTGTTCCTCTCCTTTCAGCCATCAGGAAGAACCGGAGTACCACAAGCTTTTTAACTGTCTTGAAGCTTTTTACAAAAATAAAAACAACTTTTAGACATATAGACTTAGCTATGAGAAGTATAACAGTGAGAAATGTGGGCTCAACTGCCAGGCAAAGCTGGACTCAAAAGCTAGCCTTTATGCTTTCTAGCTTTGTGGTTTTGATCAAGTTATTTATCGTCACTGAGTCTCAGTTATACCTCTCTTATCAAGGTGCAATAAGGATTAGAAGATATAAGAAAAATGTTTGGCAGATTACAAGAGTTCAAAAAGTTCTAGCTATTATAAATACTATTATCTCTCGTAATAGCCAAGATATATGAACTATCTGTGACAATCTGAGTTGAAAACAAAAATAATTATAACATAAGAATCATTGTTTTTAATCTCTTTGCTATGTGACCTTCGGTATGCTTGTATCTCGCCTCTTCAACTTGCAATTCATTCCTAAATTACAGGATTAGTTCCTTATAATATCATTTCTGTGTACGTTACAGCTGTTAGTACAGACTCTGGCACTGACTAGACATTCAATAATGGCTGTTGAATAAAGAGGAATTAAAGAGTAGAATGCAATGTTTAAGGTCTTTTAAGATACTGTTTTCCATGGAAAATGATTTTATGAACCTTCTGCTAATAAAAAACATTCCTTAGACAACACAATCTTGACTTGTGCCCAAGGACCACAATGGTAAATAGAAATCATAAGAATGACTCAGCAAGGAGAAAACCCTGACTCTGGTTCTGGCTTAGTACGTTTAGTCCCAGGAAACTGCCTATTTTGTCAATGGAAGGGTGAATACACACCTACAGACATCTCTCTCACTTCTTGTGGTGTAAGCTTGCTGACTAAAACTGATTGATTTCCATTGTCAATGTACACCTCTACAGTTGCTTTCTTCAAGGAGTGAATACATTGATGATCATTAAACCCTTAAATGCTTCAAAGCTCTTCTAACTCACAGGACAATTTGTTCTGCTCATGGCATTTGATGATCAAAATCAAAAGAAATGGAAAAACGAAAGAATTCTGACCAACTTCTCACACCATATTCTCAATAACCTA